AGAGAGGAGAGAGCACCCCCAGATAGGGAAGGACTGCAGATAAGCAGAAGGAGGCGTCGGGCTGTTCCCAGATTATAGCAAAGCCAGAGAGAGAAGGGCAGGTGAGGTCATCTGTGGGCTGGGCGGCAGCTGGAGGTGCAGGCAGGCCCTGCCCTAACAGGTGCAGGCTGGGGACCCCGCCCTGGCTCCCTCCGGAGGACACGCCAGCAGCTGAGGAGTGGGGTGGCCATATTTACTGGCCCCCAAACTCAGAACCTGGGCTAGTTTACAGAGAAAAGGAGACAGGATCACTTATCTGGAGTGTTCCTGGAACCAGAACATACATACAGCTGAGAATCTGCTCTTGTGAATTTTCGGGGCGGGGGGGGGGGGTCGTTGGTGCCCTGGGAAGAGAGAAGCCTTGATCTGACACCCTATAAACTGGTCAGAGGGACTTGATGTCTAAATTTTGTCTGTCCTATGGGCACACGCCCTGGGACCTCCGTATTTCTAGACCAGGAGGGAGCGGACTTGAGATGGTTAATTCCTTGTGTCCACCTGACTGGGCCCCGTGGCGTCTGGGCAGCGGGCGAGCATCATCTGTGGGGTGTCTGCGGCCCTTTCCGGGGGAGACTGGCGTTTGACCCCATGAACTGAGCGGAACCCGGGGCCTCGCCCGCACGACCCAGCAGGTGTCACGGATGCACCGAGCAAAAGACGCAGACGGACATCCATCTCCCGCCAGCCGGACAGCGGACACCGGACACCGGACAGCGGACAGCGGGCACCGGACACCAACGCCCAGCCTGGGACAGCCCCGACCCCCGAGTCTGCCTGGCAGGTGGCAGCCGTGGGTCCCCTCGGCCTTGGTAACCAGGGAGCCAGCCCCTCGGACATCTCTGCTCCTGTCGGTTCGGTCTCCCCAGGGGGCCCTCCCAGCCCGGCGGGGTGTACGATCACACACGGGCGGAGACGACGGGGTGCAACGGGGTTGCCGTCCGTCCAGTCACCCCTGGGCCTGTCCGTCGCCCCAGGGAGTGACCTTGCAGAGAGGTCATCTCTGCAGGTGGAGGGAACGCCTGGGGTGCGAAGGAGGAGGGGGGCAGCCCAGCTTCGTGAGGATGGTGCAGGATTCGTCCCAAACCAGCCAGGCCTCGCCCTGCGCCCCGAGGCTACAGTCTAGTGCGCCCTCGATGGGTTCACTTTGTTATTCGGGGTTCCGAGGTAGGGGCGAGGCCTCGTTCGCAAGGAGCCATAATACAAGGTGCTTGGTGACAAGGTTGGTGCAAAGAAGGGGCGACCCAGTCACGCTCCCCAAGAGCACGTAGCCAGGGTCTACGACGCGCCCGGCCCTGTTCTGGAAAGCTTCCTGGAGGAGGAGGCATTTGATATGGACCTTAAAAGAAGGATGGGTTTTTTCAGGCCGGTCAGGAACGGGTAGAAATAGGATTTAAAAGATCCGGGGCGATCCGGTAAAGAAAAGGTATTGTTTAGCATGTGGAATTAGAAACGTCTGGGGCGATTTCGCGTTTGTCTAGATTAGTCGTGTTCTCGCCCCAACCAGACGGTGTGGGTTCAGTCCTGCTCGGCGGAATGTCGGTTTTGTGTGTGATTCATGTGTCAGATACCGAGCACTTACCACATGCCGAACGCACACGCACATATCCATGGACGGAGCCCGCTGATTAATCAGCAAATGCGAAGGAGCACGAAGGTGGCGAACAGTCCGGATGGATCTGTTAGGAGAGAGAACTCGGCCCCACCCAAGATTCACGAAACCTCGCAGGCCCGAAAAGGATCAGTTCGTCTTCCCCGAGCTTATAGACCCCGTGGGCAGAGAAAACGAGCAGAGAACGCCAGGTTGTGGTGCAATTTTAAGTGACTGCAACGGACATAAGTCCCCGAGCCACAGGTGAAAAACTACAGGGAACTCACATATTCAGCTGGACGAAGACTGCTTCAGAGAGATCTTCAAAACCTGGCCACACGTCCCATCCAAAATGAATCTCATCCCTGCCATTCTCACGAAGGCGGCTGGGGGCTTCGGAAAGCTGTTTAAAATGCTGGGGGGCATAGCCCCGCCCCACCCTCCAAGCCTTCAAGGAAGCTTGGGGTCGACCCGAAGCGCTTTCTGCATCTCCTGCAGAGTCAGGGGTGAGCGGGCCACTGAAACTCAGGATGCCAGCTTCCGGAAGACATTCTGTCCTGGGGGTCCCAGCCAACCCCAACACCAGACCCCCTCCCAGGGTCAGATCCTCCGGGCAGGTGACCGAGGCTCTGCTGGAGGGCAGGGCCCTCCGAGCCCTCAGTCCCCTCCAGGCCCTTCTGCCATGCAGTGCCTGAAATGAGTCACTTCCTGTCCCAGACCCTCAGAGTCTCTCTGTTCTCTCGGGGCAGTAGATAAAGAAGTCCCTGCTTGCTTCTCGCCTTGAGGCCCCATCAAGCCCTTTTTGGGATCAGATCCCCAGTGAGAAGCCCCCAAGGTCCCGGCTCCAACACCAGCCACACCTGTGGTCCTGAGCAGCTGGCGGCTCATTTCTCTCCATCTTAATCCTCCGTGCAGTGTGCATTATTTTATTTTATTGTTTCAGACGTACAACAAAATGGAGAATAAAACGGCCAGCTTCCCCGTAGCTGTCAGCCGGATGAAGCAACAAAGCACGAGGCCTCAGCTGGGGGCCTGTGTGCCTCCCTCCTGAACTTGGGGTTCACTGTTCCCGTGTGTGAGCCACGTGTTTCTGCCATGTCAGGGGGCAAAAAAGCATTTTTTTTTAAAAAAAAAGAAAATCAATTTTACACTCCACGGACTTGCACAGTGAGTTGTCTTCAGACGTCAAACCTCGTAGGCCAGTAAAATGTCAAAATTAATTTGGGGTACTTGTAGGGCTCAGAGTAAGAACATGGAAAAAAAAAAAACACAAAACACAAAACTATCCTCTGCAGTTACAATAGCTTCGTGAAGGGAAGAACATCTAACGCGAAAAATGTAAAACGAGGAGCATGTTCTCGGAACTTAAAAACCAAATGCATCAGGTTAGTCCAAAAAGTCTTTATTTCCCTCGTTTCCACACAGAGACTGGGAAACTTCATCTCGGACCACTTGGCATTTAGGAATCACTAATGCACTAATCACTCAGACCTCTGTCCCTTAGAGAATGGGCTTTGTGGAGGGAGCACCCCGTCCCGGACACAGGGAGCACGTTGCCGCCCACCCTTCTGCAATCACACTCCAGGGGTGCAAGGCCTCCGCCCCGTTTCCTTCTCCTCCCGACTTTATCTCCAGATAACTCCTTCCCCGCCTTGTGCCCTCCCCCGCCCCTCCCTCCCTTGTCCCCTCACGGTACCCCCAGGCCCCTGGCCAGCACCCAGCCCTCACACCCAGGACCTCCCCTCACCGTGTCCAGCCACAGCCACACGCTGGAGGGACTTTGGCCAGACTCTGAGGACGGGGCTGGGAGGAACCAGACTGCAGCGTGTGAGGGTCACAGGAGACCGGCGTGGTCACTGATAATGTCGCAAGGCGGGGGATGAAAGGACGACGTCAGCGCTGAGGCAGCCCCGCTGGGTGACCCACGGGGGAGTAACTGGACGAACTGGACAGGCCGCCACGCAGGGGCATGGTGCATGCAGGGGCGGCTGGTACAGGGCCAGTATTCTGCAATAACCCCCCAGGTAAGCCGGCTCCGCCTGTCCCCACCCTGAGCTGGGAACCACAGACCTGACACAAACCGGGACAAGATAAAGTCGGTCATCGCTGAGAGTTCGGGCGTACACGTCACTCAGTCAGACGAAACGGGGAGGAAGGGGGCCCGTTCGTGAGCGGCACCCGAGGTCGCAGAGCTGGTTGCAGATGCTGCCAGCTGGTGCCTTTGCCACCCTGGGCGTCGGTTCCCTCACGTGCGAGAGCAGCTCAGACCGGGGCTGCCTCTGAGAGCCGCGAGAGGGGCCCTCGGAACCCCAGAGCTGAGCCCAGCAGCCGCGGATGGTTCCGACTTCTAAAAGCCACACGGGACACCAAAAACCCAAGTTCAGATGGCGCCTTCTGGCATCAGGGTGGGCGGGGCAGCCGAGGACCGTCTCCCGTCTCCTCTCGGGTGCCCCCAAATCCTGGGAAGCAGCCCCAGCTCACAGAGGGGCTGCAAGTGGCAGCAGAGGAGGGAAGCAGCTGACAGGTGACTGGCCCTCTGCTCGGGAGCACCCAGCCCGTGTTCCCTCACACAGGACCGGCAAGTGGCCCCAACTCGAGAGCCACCGCCACTGTGCCCATCACGGCAGCCTGCTCCTTCCCAACCCCCGACTGTCCCTACCTCATCCCAGCGAGGCCAGGCTGGTCCTCCAGTGCCTCTCCCTCTGCGGTATGTAAACCTACAGGACCCTGCCTCTCAAATATAGGACACGCACTTGCACACGCGCACACACCACACACACACACACACACACATTGCAGGGCTCAGAATCTTGATCTTACAAAGAGGACAAATCTGACAGAGATTCACGCGTGTGCGCACACACCACACACACACACACACACACACACACACACACACTGTTTAAAAACTGATTCGAGCCCAAAGAACCGTCGGCTGTGTTCGCAGGGTGGTAAGCTTTATTGTATGTGCCCTACGTGGTGTCCCAATCCTGGGGTTCAGCCCCTGACCCAGCAATCAGGCCGAGAACCATGCCTGCTCCACTCCTCCCTCGCACCCCCGAACCACGCCCGCGCCCCTCATCCCCCTCAGGACCAGGGAGGAGGCAAGGCCGGCCGTCTGGCCTACTCGGGGCCCAGTGCGGAGGCTCCAAGCGGCCCAGATGCCACCGCGTGGGGCCCTTCGACCTCCCAGCCGGACACTCAGCACAGCACACTGCCCTCGGAGCTCACGTCTCTTTTATTCGGGCCACCACGTGGCTTCGGGTCCCTCACAACAGCCCTGTGAGGCGGGGAGCATGCCCGTTCCCTGCAGAGAGGCACAGGGGCAACCCCACGTCCCCCGGCCGGAACCCAGGCCAGGAGGGGCGAGGGGCCTCGCCACCCAGATCCCCTTCCCGTCCCCAGTGCCCAGGCCGGGCCACAGAGGCAGAGTCGGGCGGGGGGACCCGGCCGGGCCGGCCTCACTAGCGGGTGAGGATGCGTGCGAACTCCTCGTAGTCCACCTGTCCGTCCTGGTCCAAATCAGCCTCTCGGATCATGGCCTCCACGTCCTCCTGGGACAGCTTCTCGCCCACCTGGGCCATGGCCTGCTTGAGCTCGTCCACGCTGATGTGGCCGTCACCGTCCAGGTCAAAGGCGCGGAAGACCTCCCGCATGTCCTGCTCGCCGATGCCGGACTTCATCCTCTTGGCCATCTCCGCCAGGAACTCCTGGAGGCTGATGGCGCCGTCGCCGTCCGTGTCCACCCGGGTGATGATCTCCTTCAGCTCGGCCTCCGTCGGGTCCTGGCCCAGGGCCCGCATGGCGTCGCCCAGCTCCTGCAGGTTGATGTTGCCATCACCGTCCGTGTCAAACCTGGTGAACACCGCCTTGAAGTCAGCCACCTGCTCTTTCGACAGCTTCTCTGCCATGGCGCTTGCTGCCGGCCAGCTCAGCGTGCTCCGGTCAGAGCTGGGACGAGGCTGCGACTGAGTGGGGGCAGAGCTCCGGTGGCGGCCTTGCCATGGGGTGGGGACCCCTCCTTTTCTGCAATCGGAGCACAGGGAGGAGGCCGGCTCCCCACCCACACCGTGTCCTCAGGCAAAATCCTCCTCCGGGGAGGGAGAGGCCAGCTGCAGACAGGAAATGCAGGAATTGGAGGGGCAGGGCCCGCCCTGGGAGGACGCAGGGAACATCCTGGGGACCAGCCATCCAGCCTGCCAGCCTCGCCTGGTCCCAGTAGACCACGCTGACCTGGAAGTTTTTGCCAGGTGACACTCGCAGAGAGCCTGGTCAGGCTGAGGGGTCGGGTCAGCTGCCCCAAATCACAGAGCCTGAGGCTGGGAGAGGAAGGGACCCCCCCTCTTTGGGGACATACAGGCCCCGAAGTTGGGGGACACCTGTGTCCAGCGCTTCTGTTCCTCTCTCTAGGGGCTGCTCTCCAGCTCCCATCCACAGGGCAGGGCCAGCGGGGGGCACACGGTGGCAGAATTGAGTGGAATTCTACGAGGGTGGAACCGTGGGGGTCATCAGAAGCCCCGTCCACGGCCGTCAACAGATCTATGGCTTCGAGAAAACGAGGAGCCAGGTGGCACGCAGAACCTGGCACACAGGTGGTGCCGAGGATTGTCAGCCAAGCAGAAGTTCACAGGTGACTCAGAGGCGAGGAGGAGGCCTCCGGTCCCACAGGCCCTTCTCTAGCTCGATGCGCCCCTGACTCCCCTCTGCTGGCGAGTCCACTCCTGGGAAGAAGTTGCTGTTCGCTCACCCTCCAGGGCTGCGGGGAGACCGGAGGGCACGGGAGGCCCACACAGCCCAGCCCCGGAAGACGCTCGGACCTAGAAGGACAAACAGACACAGAGGGGCGGCCGAACCTGCGAACGTGGCCGAGGCCCCTGAGAGTCGGCCCTCAGCCCAGAAACCCAGGCCGGGAACCTCCCCGCACCGTCCCGTCTGTTCTCTGCAAGATCATCGCTGCCCACCGCTCTGAGGAGCGGAGTCTAGACCAGGAGCTCGGCCCTTGGGGACTGTCCCCAACTCCTTAGCTAAGAAGACCCAAGGCTGCAAGGGGACGTGCGCCTCGGAGTCCCCATGGTGACTTTCTCAAGCAAACCTGCTCTCCATCCCTGCGCATTCCCACGCCGGCCCCACTTCTGCCTGGGTGTCAGGACCGACCCCTTCACCCTTCTGAGAAACGTGGGGACGTCCACCTCCTCTGGCTCAGCCCCTCAGACAGACTACGGAGTCTGTCCTTCCCTGTAGGGCAGCTGGGCGGTCGCCTGCCACCTTCGCCTGTGTGCTGGAGCAGCGCAGAGGCCTCAATACATATTGAGTAACTAATTTCTCACTGAAACCGACAAGCAGTATCGATGGGGCGTGTGGGTCCATCTGGGACACGGGCGCGGGCAGCGCCTGTCTGGCGGGAGGGCGGCGCCCCGGTAAGCGGAGCAACCCAGCTCCTCCTCCATCATTTTTTTAAAGAAAACTTGAAGATATCGATCTCTATTTTAAAATTCTCTTTTCTTCGCGTCTTATTTGCGGGCCTTGTGATTAGAACTGCAAGATGCTTGCTATTTTCTTATTTTCCTTTATATACATTGTAAACACAAAAGCTTGTCAGGCACCTTCGGGAGAGCTGGGCCCTTGGTCCCAGCTTCGTCAGCCATGTGCGCACTTAATTCATGTCCAAATATCTTCATCTATAGAATAGGATAATGCGTCCGCCGTACCTGATCGGCTCACTTAGGGTCAAAGGCCGAAGGCCTGTGATCCATGGAAGGTGTCATTATTCTATGACAAATCTCGCTTCGGTCACAAGCTGGTTCATGTTTGACGTAAACCAATGCTCCAGAAAATGTCCGCCCGAAAGGGGACCTTGCTTTCAATTTTGTTATCACTCCTCTCTCGATTGAACGAATACATTAAACTTGTCTGCCTGGAGGCTAGAGTCACATCGCACAGTCCACAGCTCTGAACGCGGGTCGGCTCCGGGTGGCGGCCCCAACACACACACAGGCGTCTAGAAAGAGCATCTAGCTAAGCGTCCCCAAGGGACAGGATGACGGTCATTATCCATGGGACTCTCATTCTCCGGGGAGAGAGGGGGGCTCTGGAGGTCAAGGCCTATGCCCAAGGCCACCCGGAACCTGGGGAGAGAGCCAGACTGAGGCTGGGTGCGTCGCATCCTTGGCCACTTGGGGTCCCGCTCCCTCCCAACACGGTGCCTTCTCTTCAGAGCAGGAACCCACACTGAAGTGGTTCTCCCTCCGCCTGCCCAGGTAGGCCCGCAGGAGGGACGGCCACCGGCACGGGTGACCGGCAGCACAGGGCTCCCGACGGCCAGACTCGGGGCTGGGAAAAGGGGAACAGCACGGCACTGGTGATCGAACCCCAACCAAGCTTGACGGGGCCCCTTTCTCCGCCCGCTGGTCTACTTCACAGCGGCCTGGGTGCAGCCCAGCCCAGCACCTCGGAGGGAGTGGGAGGGAATCAGCAACGCCTCCCGCTCACGGCGTTTCTGGCGTTGGGAGGCCGGACCTCCTGCGAGGCTCCCCACGTGTGATGGGGGCAGGGGGCAGGGGCCTGGGCTGAGACGGCCCCTTGCTCCAGGGGCCACACGAGAAGCACAAACAGGGCGCCGAGTAACCACACGTCATGGGAGTCACGTTTCCTGAGGACGGAGAAGCTGGAACCCACGAGGAGGGGGGTGTGGTTGGGCGGGCAGGGGTCAGGTGGGCGGGCTTGCTGCAGAAAGCCTGAGCCTTTTCGGCGTCACCTGTCGGAGGTCAAGTCCCTCTCCTGCCCCCTCTCAGCGTATCTCCCTGACACCGGTACTGTTGCCTGGGAAACCCAGCTTCTCCCAGAGAGAAGGGGCGAGGTCCCGGAGGAGGAGAGGGTCCCCCTCATCGAGGGGGGCTGAGACCTCCGCAGATGTCACAGGGAGAAGCAGTGAGCACTCGGGACGTTCACACAGGCAGCGCACAGGCCCCTGCTGCTCGGGGCGGGGGCGTCATCACCGTCACACTGGCCGGTGCAGTGGCCGCGTGTGCGTGTTGGGACCTCAACGCCGCGGCCAGCCCTGGCTTTCCCAGGAGCAGAGGGCTCCCCAGCACCCCCACTGCTGTTTGGCTCTGTGGGCGACGTGCTTGTGAGAAACCAGTCAGGCCGGTCTTGGAGAGTCCCTGGCTCCTCCGACTTGCTGGAACCTGCCTGTCCCTCGCTCCTGAGCCAGCGTCTGGTGTTGGCGCCGCCCCGACCTTGCTGGGGAGACCCCACCCCTGGAAACAAGAACGGAGCCCGAGCGGGAAGCAGTGCCTGTCCACGTGAGGCCACCCACCATCACACCTTTCCTAAGGAGCGAGCAGCGCACAGTGGGCTCCGACCCTCGCCGGGTCCACCCCTTAAACACAGCTCACGCGCCCCACGAGGCAATCCTGCTGCAGCTGCAACCCGGGCTGTGCGGGGCTGGTCCTGGCTTCCCCAGGCGGCCGTGTGGCCTGGGGCAGGTGACGTCACCTCCCCAGCATCAGCTGCCTGCACTGTGAAGGAGGCGATACCGGTACCTGTGAGCAGCAGGGAGGCGCTGGCCCAGTGCCCAGCATCGGGTAACCACTCGGAGAAAGGGAGCATTACTGTCGCTCACTTGCCCGTTCGCCCAAGTGCCTTTCCCTCCCGGTGTCCCCTGCCAGGCCGAGGGCCCAGCATCCTCAAAGCAGGCCCCGGTGGCTGTTCTAAGTTCTCAGGACGTCTCCAGCCGAGGTAAGCACCTGCTCCCCCTGACAGAGCCGGCCTCCTCATCACGGCCCCCCGCACGCCCGCCACGGGCAGGTGCTAATTCAGCAGAGGACCCTCGTTCTGCAGGGGGTGGTTGCACCTGGAGGACAAAGATGCTGGGGAGCCCTGTCCAGTCACAGGTGTGATTCACAAGTGTGATTTTCGAGCTCCCGGGGGCAACCACTCGTGAGATGGGGCTCAAAGAGACGCCTCACGTGTCCGTGACCTGGGGGTCACGAGCGACATTCTGCCCTCAGAACCGTCTGCCGGCGCGGGCCGCTGGGGGTGCAGCGCCCCCCGTCCGCCAGGCCTCGCGGGGGTGCTGGGCCCGCGCAAATGTCCCCCGTTTTCGGTCAGCGACACACCTGGGAACTTGCAGGACCCACACGGCTCTCTGTGCCGGATGCAAGGCTTGCTCACAGCTCACACGCCTGCCGGCCCCAGCGACGCGCACCCCAGTTATCCAGCATGCTCCACGAGGAGTGCTGAGTCGGACGTTTTTCCAGCTCACTGGAATCTTAACCTGAACCGGAACTGGAAATCTTTCGAAGGTGGGCTTTCTGTCTCACTCCCCACGATTTTAAACAGACTGGGGGGTGGGCTGGAAACCCAGAGACGCCCAGGGTGGCAGTCAGGCCTGTCAAGCAGGACAGGCCTGTGGGGACCTACGCGGCCCACCACCCAGCTCGCCGCTGGTCCCCAGCGGACCCCCCGCCCCGCCCCTACCGCCACCCAGGGTCTGACCACACCGCTCGGACTCAGCGTCTTCCTGCCAGACACTAAGCCACAGGTCCTGCTCTCAGGCCTCTTCTTAGATGGCCTGCTGCTGGACAGGTGCTCACCTGTACAAGGTAAGTACGCGTTTGCAGCTTTTATCCACCGGGGAACTGTCCCCGGCCACTGCTGGGAGCCACCTCCTCGCGCGCCCAGCCGCCCCGGCTCCTCACCGCCCTCCAGTTCCGGTCCTTCTCGCCCTGTGACGGGCGATTCCTGGACCTGCTTCCCCGAGCTCTTACCCTCGACGCAGCCTTCCTGCGTCCACCAGCCCAGAGAGCTGAAGTCCCACGGACAGGATTCTCCGTCCCCCTCGTTAGGGGCCCTGGACCCCCTTTCCTGCCCCCACAGCCGGCCTCCCGTCCCTCGTCCCTGATCTGGAGCGGACAGCAGAGTTCTGGGGAGACAGAATGTGCTTCTGTCCTGCCTCCTTCGCGGGAAGTCGCCCTTGCCTGCTCGACAGCCTCGCCAGTGGTTCGGGGTGAAGCTGTCCCCTGGTCACAGCACAGCTCTGTGACTGCCGTAACGTGGCCCCTGGCCTCCCTACACCCTCGGTCACGGGCGTTCTGCAGCCCTTTGCATCCGCGTTCGATTGCATCTGCTGCCACCAGCCTTATCGTTCACTGGGTTATCCATGTGGGGTGACATCACCTCCCCGCCTAACCTGAGTAAGCCGCAGCCGGGCCTCTGCTGCCCCACTTACGTGACACGAATATTAACACCCCGAGCAGGGCGCTGAGCCGAGGGTTTGGAGCACGACCTCACCCCGTCCTCCTTCCCGCCTTACGGAGGAAGGAGCTGCGGCCCAGAGACGCCATGTGGCTGGTCCACGGCAGCCGGGTTCGCCCCGCTCTGGACCCCAAACCCTCCTGCACTGCGTCCGATGTTCAGCAGTCCTCCTGTCCTCCATATGCTGCTGAAGGTCGCCGACCCACCGTCCACGCGGCCCTCGGAGACGCGGTGAGGGCCGGCGGCGAAGGCGTCCGCCACGCCGCCATGACCCCACCGTGACGCACCGTGACAAAGCACGGTCCTAGCAGGAGCCGCCCCCGCCGCCCCGCCGCCCAGCCACGTGGCTCTGGCTGCACGCGCGACCCACCCGCGTCCGACTTAGTCTTTAGGATGCTCAGTGCGCGCTTGGCACACAGCCGGCTCTCAGCGCACCTCGGCAGCGTCCTCGGGAGCGTTTCTGGAGGACGCTGTCACTTGTCATGTCCCTTCAGCATCGCCTTCATCGCTCTGTTCTTACGTAGGTCCACCGCGATCCCCCTACCTTCCGGAACGTTCTGCGACAAGCTGCCCTGTGATTCTCCGTGGACCCCCCCCCACCCCGAGGACCTCGTCTCCGCTGTGCCGATCTCTTCATTTGAGCTTTGGTTTCTCGTCCGTATTTTTACTCCAAGTTCCTCAGCGCGATGTGTCACGTCTGTGCTCGCCGCTGGACACGTGGAGACCGTGACTTGCTTTTTAAAGGTCTCTACCCTTTCATGCTTGTTTAAGAAGAACTTTCTTCACGTTTTTGAGAGCACGTCTGACCCCTTTCTGGCAGCTTGAAAAGAGAGGGGCGCGTTTTCTCCTGCCTGGATCCTCCCCCTTAGCACAGTTTTTACTCTCTTTCCATTCGATTCTAGACGTTCTCATCCGTCCCCGTTCCCTGCTCCCCACACACGGGCTTGTCCTCCAGCTGCGTCGAGCTCCCTGGCAGTGGGGACCCTGTCAGAACCGCCCCGACGGCCCCAGGCCAGGCGTCCCCGGCACAAAGCGGACTCGCACGGCCCCGTCGTCCACTGAACGGATAGGTGGGTGGGTGGGTGGAGGCACGGATGAGCGAGCGAGTGAGGGAAACATGGAGCTCTGCCAACACCTAAGTTTCCCTTTTGCTCCCAATCGAGGCTGCAAAACAAAATTCACTCTCCGTCGATGAGGAGCGCGCATCGAACTTCTCAGTTCCGAGGACCGTGGCTGCCTCCACCGGAGCACACTGCCGGGGCGGGTCCCGTGGGGGTGCTGTTCCTCGGAGCCCTGCGACATGGCCTCACACCAGTTCGCTGCTCCCCCAAAGAAGGAGTGCTCCCCCGCTCCCCTCCTCCTCCCTCTGGGACGTCCTCATCCACACACCGAGGACCGGGCATCGGCGGCGAGCCCGGGGGCGGCGAGCCGCTCTGGCGAGAGGCGCGTCTGCCACGTCCGTCCCCCGTCTCTTCCCTCCTCCTGTCTTTCCCTCCCTGCTCTCCCAAGTCCTGGCTCTGTTTTGTTCTTCCCTCGTCCCCGAGCTCCGCTGGCAGCCGACCCTCACGCGCAGCGTGTCCTCGGCCAGACCAAGGGGGGAGAGTCTCTGGGCTCAGGGCACGCCAGGTCCCTGCCCACGCTAAATGCCACGTCTCCCACCTCCTCGCTGTGTTCCCCTGGGACGCAGCACACCCCGGCTCTCCGCCACACGTCCTGGGGGCGCCCCTTCCCTGAACCACCAAACGCGGCCACCTCTAGCCCGGCACACGCAGTCTGGGGCGACGCCCTTCCGACCGGCTCCACGGGCCTCGGGAGACAGCTCGGGAGGGGCTTTCTCCCTTCCTGCTACGAAGGCAGACGTGCGGACACGAGGCCACAGGGTTTTCCGCTCGGGGGCACCCTCAGAGTCGGGACTGAACCTCGAGACTGTTGCTTTGCACGGGGACACGGGGTCCGCACGGCCGATGGCAGCCGTGTGCCGAGCACCGCCCGGTCCTCCCTACCACGCAGCACTCCTCGCGGGCACAAGCCCTCCGTCGTCATCGCCCGGGTTCATCCGGCTCACCCATCCCAGACAATCCAGGTCCTTCCCCAGCTCGGCCTCCACCCCGCCACGCGACCTTGGCCAAGCCTTCAGCATCCGTTCCGCAGAGTTTCCCCAATGCCTGTCGCATGCCAGGGACCACGCTGGGCCTGGAAACAGGACGCTCCCGCTCCCTCAAGGGCTTGAGACAGTCCCTTGGCACCTGGGAACGCCCTCGGGTCCCCTCCTAAGGCCGCCCGGTCCTGGACAGTGAAGAGGGCCTGGCTCAGAGGCAGGAGACGCCCCTCACCCAGCAGTTGCATGGTCCTGGGTAAATGCTTACGTTTCATGGGTTACAGTGTCCTCGACTGTGAAACGAGGGCCTTGGGCTGGATGGTGGCTCTCAGAATTTCTTTAGCAGCAGAAGCCACGTTTCAGATGAAATCTCACTCACTCCTATGGCAAGTAATAGTTAGTTAATATTTATTGGGCTCTTCAGATTTCAGATGAAATCTTACTCACTCCTATGGCAAGTTAATATTTATTGGGCTCTTCCTGTGTTCCGAGTACCCTTCTGAGCCTTCTGGAGATGCATGGGGGGCAAGGGAAGTCGGGGGGAGGAGTGCCGACCTCCTTCCTCCCCTCACACCCACCCCTGCCAACCAGAAAAGCCCCTTTTCACTGCGTCGTGGTTGTTGGCAGGCAGTGGCAGCCGTGACTTAGGGAACTCACTGTGAGCACACACGAGAAGCCTCAGAAGACGCGGAGGGCGCTGACCTCAGCAGGTGAGCGGCTAAGGTCCTCGGCCCAGGCGGGGCACGCTGAGGGCTGACTCATGACCCTGCTGTCTGGGGAGGACACGCCGAACCAAGAAGGCAGGCCCAGGAAACACTCAAAACAACCAGCTTCCTTTGCCCCTGGTGGACTTCACTCTGCAGCCGAGGCCTCGAGTCAGAGAGGCGAACCCCGCCCACACCCACACCCGCCACTGAGCTGGGAGAGAGGCTTCTCAGTCCCGGCCGCCTGAGGGTGATTGATCCGGTTATTATCAGATTCCAGTCAGGCGACTCAGGGGCCGATCCAGGACAGCCGTCTCCTCCCTGAACTTACGCTCCCTCCAGCCCAGCTGGCCATGGAGGAACGCCGGTGATTCACGAAACTGACTGATTCGGAGCTGGGTCGCTCCCCGAATCTGGACCAGCCTCTGGTGGGAAGGTTTTAAAGGAAGGCCCAGGCCCCCACTGGCTGGGTGGGGCCCCCTCCCAGGCCACAGACGCCTTGCTGTATCCTCACATGGCGGAGAGCTAGGTCTTTATGGAGCCTCGGGGCGCTAATGCCACTCCTGAGGGTTCCACTCTCAGCAACGGCATCGCCGTTGGGGCTTAGGGTTCCACCTATGAATTTTGGGGAGATAGAGCCCTCAGGCGGCAGTACACCATTACCATGTAACATTTACGAATGAACTTCCTACCCATCGAGCAGGTCCTCTGTGGCAAGCACGTGTCAGCGAATCATCCACGGACTCTAGCCCGTCCCTCAGAGGTGACCCCCGCAGCCCAGCGCCCTCCGATGGCCTCTGTGGGGCTGGCTCCCACTTCCGGTCCAGCGTCTCCAGTCCTGGCAGCCACAGCCGGGGAGGTGTTTCTGCTCTCGCTCCCCTCCCTCGTGGAAGCCCCCCCCGAAACGTCCCCACCTCCATCCCGTCCCCGCTTCTGCTCTGCCACTGGCTGGAGAGCAAGGACAAAGCCACAACACAGTGGCCGGGGGCGCTGCTCGAGGCCCGCCTTGTGGGCATCGCGCCGGTGACCGATGCTCCACCCTCTGGACGACTAGCTGCCCGTGGCTCGTCCTCCGTCCGCATCTCTGCCTGAGGCCGGAACGCGACGCTGCCCCAGGCACACCATCCGTGCTGCCTGGGCCTCGGGAAGATGGGGTGCGCTCCCAGCTCCCGGCAAGCCATCTGGTCCCCTGGCACTTTTATCTGACCTGTCCTTTATTATGTCACCACCCCGAGACTCGCCCTGGCTCCTTGGAGAGAGGACAGAGCACGATGGCAGTGACGGGCCCAGCAGGGGAAGGGTGGGGGGCCCTCTCCCCGGTGCCATTGCAGTCAGGCAGATGGTCCAGCCAGGGGCCACCCGGGAGGGCCAGGAAGAGGGACACGGGGCGGATTCCGAGCCGAGGCCGAGAGGATCCTGTGAAGACTGCAGTGTGGCCTGTGCTGGGACCTCTGACTTTCCCCCTGGAGGTGGACGCTTGTCACGTGGTTGCAGGCTCCTCTGGGAAACATGCAAAAAGCGGCTTTAAAATAGGTCCCCAGAGTCCCCCAGTCCCAACCACACATCCCGGTGTAAGCTCCTGGCCGACCTCGTCTCAGGCTGTCTTGGAGGCTGTGGTCTCACAGCTAAAGTTCCCACCAGTGACTCCCATCAGGACCTCCCCAAAGTTCCCCAGAAGCAGCCAGACGCCTGGGTTTGCGGTGGGGGGCACGGCTTACGTTTCCTGGGGTCTCTGCGTGTTGTGCACACGGCATCGACCCCTGCTGCCTCTCGCTCCCCAAGGCCAACGTCGACTGGATGCAAACACGCCTGCTCTGTGTTCCAATTCATACGGACCACAGGGCAACACAACACTTTCCACACTGGCCCCCCAGCCTCAGGCTTCCAGCTCCCAGACTGTGGGGAGATATCTGCGTGAGGCCACACGGCCTGTGGCTCCGCTGCCGCAGCCCGGATGCACTAAGGCAAAGCGCTCACACTCACACGGGACCAGGGCATAGACGAGCAAACGCCAGGGCCGGGCATGGCTCAGGGAAAGTCCCACGGCCGCTCTCAGCCACGCCCAGTCTGGCAGGGCACAGGGGTGGCAGCGGTGGCGAAGGCTGGGGGACCCCACCCTGTCCTCTCTCTAACCTGGCAGGAGAGGCACCTTCACAGAGGCGCCGAGCGAACCCTTTTTAACGAAAGGTGTCACAGCACCACGTTCGAGGAGAAGGCAGCACTTGAGCTCACCAAAGGCAGGCTCTGCAGCAGGCGGGTCCACTCGACAGACGGCTGTCGGGGGCTGGGTTAAGCCTGTCCCCTGGGAGACCAGCACCGTGCCCACCAAGATCCCAGCATCCTCGGCGCCTCCCACCTCCAGCCCAGGGATTCTACACCCGGTTCAGACCGCTGGTCGCCAGCACCCCACAGCCATTGTCCTCTGACTGTGGTCCACGGTCCGTCTGGGGGGACTGTGCCCCCTGGTGCGCTTTCAGGTCAAATCTGTTCTCATAATAACACCAAGCCCTTACGTGCCGTTTTTCACGGTTTAGACATCTTGCGCTGAGGTCGAAAGCAACGGTGAGTAAACTTACTATCCCCTTAAGCGTCAACTCAGGCTCCCATCCCAGTTAGCAGCCGTTATATCCTTCACGGCCACGGTCTCAATTCAAAAAAGAAAAAAAATCAAGTTTCACTTAAGAAAGTCCTTGAAGAAGGAGTAAAATTATTGTTTTATTAAATTCGACCCTCATACACACCTGCCTTTATCATTCTGCTGGATATTGAGGTAGATGCTTCTCATGGGAAAGGCATGAGCATCGGGGTGAGCTTTTTCCTGGCACGCCGTTTTTGTTGGAAAGAACCCCTGATCCGCAAGCTATGGTTACTCGGATCGGTATCTGGCAGGCATTTTCTCTAAAATGGATAAAGCGACCCTGTCACTTCAAGGAAAACAACTGACAGTATTTGTTACCTGTGATAAAATCCAAGCTTCCAGGGGACAATTAGAATTCTCGACATTTCGCATCGTCACCATGAGCTTGAGCTTTTCCAAAACTTAAAGACTGTACTGGTGGGATTGGGGTGATATTAATGAACGTGATTTTTAAAAATTCTATATGCATCGGGAAGCCCGCAGAACTCAGCGAACCGATATTTCCACCGACGCGTGGGATCACAAAATCACGCATGGGCAAAAGCTGCAGCCGAATCACGACAGTGACCGCTGCGTTTTAACGTGACCGTGCGAAAAGTCACAGCCTCGGATTCCGCACGACGACTAACCCTCTAAGAACTTGCCGCTCATCGCATTTCGATACGGTATCAAAGAAGACCCACAATTACCGAGGAGTCATTCAAAAGTCTTCTTTCAAAGGCATGCCTGCGTGAGGCTGGATGATCCTATTCTTTGAATCAAATCAGCGTCTTCCCACAGAGCGAGGGCAGAAGCAGACTCGGATCTTTAAGCCAGGCATGTGAGAGATTCGCAAAATTCATTTTTTTTCTTTTTAGGTGCCACGTTTTCCTTGTTACTTTTTGTTTACGGAACGTAAGCATTTTGCACAAAACTACGTTATTCATGTTAACGCGTAATGGGGTTTTTGATGTCTATTTTTTTTTTTAAGTTGCAAATAACATATAAACGCATATTTAAATATTTAAATTGCTGTCCAGTTTTCATTTCGAACCCGCTAAATGTTGCTAGCTAGAGCGAAAGCTCGTTGGAGTCCTCAGTACCCTTTAAGTTTTTAAATGGTCCTAAGACCACAGATTTATTCTGCAGGGACGCGAGGCCCGTGAGCTAAGACCCATTCCCTGTCCACTTTGCTAACTGAGTTGTGGCACGTTAGCCGTTCCCGATTCTCTGTCCCTGTGTCTTTTCCAAAACCGGCTGGATGTTTGCGCCAGGACGCCGTGACCCAGGAGGCTGCAGACACGCTGCAGGCCACTTGTCCCTGCGGTAGGTGAAGCAGGCAGGGAGGGAGAGCGTGTTCCCGCCTGGCCTCGAAGTCCTCATCCATCGGCAGGACCGTCTCGGGCTCCGGTTTCTCGCGATGCTGGGCTCTCCCGGGTTCTGCAAGATACTCTGTCGGTCACGTGCCCACGTCCAGTGGTCCTCTCCGCCGCCTGCTACTGCCCTGGTGTTATTTCATGAATACGTCCTCTTGGGGGTGAGGATGCGGCATATGATCGTTGGGGGGACACATTCAGGCCACATGACAGCGTTTATCAGTTCTCGCTTTCACGGACTGTGCCTCCGATGTCAAATCTAAACTCAACCCAAGTCCACGCTGGACACCTCGGGCTTATCCAGATTTTCTCTTCCGTTGTCTTCCGGGAGTTTTAAAATTTTGCGTTGTACGTTTAAGACCGTGACCCATTTTGAGCTATGTTTTGTGACGGGCGTAAGGCCTGTGCGTGTCTTTTACAGGTGGATGTCCAGTCGCTCAGCATCATTTGTTGAAGGGACGGTCTTTTCTCTGTTACGTGACGGCCTTGGCCCCTTTGTCCAAGGCCAGTTGATGGTATTCATGCGGGTCCCTTTCTGGGCTGCTCCGCTGACCAGTCTGCCGGCTCTTCCGCCGATGTCTCACTGTGTTGGTCACCGCGGCTGGAGAGTGAGCCTTGGCGTCAGGTGGCCTCGGCCCTGTCACTTCGTCCTTTTCCCTCGCTGTCGCGTGACTCTCACAGGTGTCCGTGGATTCCCACAGGTGCAGCGACCCCTTCTCGCTCCATGGCTGGCCGTTTCCCCCAGCTTCCTGGGGGTCGGAGACGGGCCTGTGTGCCTAAAGGACATTCCACTTGGCCTTCTTGAAAATCTCTCCTGTATAAAAACACCCCTTACTTCAGCTCCGGCTCCCCCCCGACCAGGCGCCCAGACGGGACCTTGGCGAACATGTCCAGGGCGTCCCACGGCCGAGGGGTGACTGTGAGTTTCTCGCTGCGTCCAGAGGCCTGGCTTCTGTCCTCATCTTCATCTCTCTCTCTTTCAACCTCGAGGCTGCACCCTCACTGGCCACTGCTCTGTCCCTGGGCCGTGCCAAGCCCTCCCCCACCCCGACGTTGAGCCTGCTCAGACCCCCTGCCTGGAAAGCCCCTTCTCTCCCTTCGGATGACCCCCAAATGCCACCTCTCCAGAGAAACCTTCCTTCACGCTCGTCACAAGAGGCGCGAACTCGCCCGTCTCTCCGTCGTCAGCCCCGCTGTATCTCGCTTCTTAGCTGACTTGCTAACCACCTATTTCTTGGGTGGAGCGTAAGCTTCTCGGGGGCCGGGGGCTGCCTGTCTCGTTCACGGCTCTGGCCCCAGCGCCTGCACCGAGTAGGCCCCTAATAAATGCCCACAAATAAACGAGTCGGCGAATGAGCTGGACGGAACCCTTCTCCAGCCACGTTGGGTTTTTTTGTTTTTGTTTTCCCTGAAGTTAAGACAGTCTACTCCTACCCAAAGAAAAACACCTCTGTTCCTTCTCGGAAA